AAGGGAGGGGATAATATTATAAACTAGAAGGTAGAAGGGTGGAGTGGGCGCTTATAAAGATATAAGGATGTAGTAGTAGGATTATAATGAAATAAAGAGCCACTAAGCCACTTAGATAGTAGTTACGTAACCTACTTAGCTACTTAGGAGTCCTAAGTAGCCGAGTAGACATCCTATATAGGAACATAAGTATGAACTCTTATATTTATATTTAACCTATTTATTAATCTATTATTTAGATTATACTTAGGCTATATTATTAACTCGTTATATCTCTACTAATACTATCGTCTTAATAAAACCCCTTCCCTTCCCTTAGTTGTCTTGCCCGAGAACCAACCCTAACCTTTAGGACTAGCTACCCTTCTAGATTTAATACTTCCTACTCCCTACCCCTATAGATCTACACTTATGCGAGATGTCCTAGGGATAATTAAACCCTATAACCTTAAGAAGACTACTTCCTATACTTAATATTTAGGAGTAGGTCTCTCCCCGCAATAGACTATAACCCTAGGGTAAGAGAGTGAACCTAGAGGCCTAAATGGATAAGCCTATATAAGTCTATAATACGGCGGATCTTGCGCCCACTGTAGAATAACCCCTAGGAGGGCGGAGTAGGGGGGTATATAATGGGCTACGCCCTAGAGGTCTTATCTTGGCCTAGGACCGGCTGTGACCTCAGACCTAATGTTAGCTTTAGGGGGCAGATATATAACTTTGGTAGTAGAACCTTAACTTCGACTCTTCGTGAATTTATAAATATTTATTCTGGCTATCTTGGCTCCTTAAGCATCTAGCCCATAATAGCTTATTACCTTAGCTAGCACGTCTAGGGACTAAAACCTTTATTATAGATACTACACACCTACCACCACTCTTCCTCTAGTAGCTAATGCTATCGCAGATATTCCTTAAAGGCTTTAACCTAATAGTGGCTAGTAATAAGCTCTACCTTTCCCCTAATTACGCTCTCCCAACCTTTAAACGACGGCCACTTTAAATCGCCCTTCCCAACGCTCTTACCTATGGTGATAGTGGTCTCAGCCTAGTCCTTCTCTTTTAGGTAGTCTAGCATCTACTATACGTGCGCCTTAGAGTAAGTAACCTATAATTAGTGGCTTATACCTCGCCATAGAACGCCTACCTCATTAAAAATCTAGTGGAGGCGATGCTTATGGGCTTTATTAATAGGTCTATTTACCCTAATACTCCATTCTACAGTGAGTATATTGATTAGAAATCTAGCCATTACTAGTAGGTATAGCGTAGCTTAGTTATAGATAGAGTCTACCTCCTAAATTTCCTTACCAGCCGTACGTTGCCTTTTCCCTATTTTAGTAGAAACATTCACGCCTTTATGCTTTATCATAGTTTCGCTTCTATTAGGGTAGAGCGTCCAGGTAGAGCGGTGTTTAGGATAATAAGAGGTTATTTATTAATTAGGTTAAGAGTTCGCTAATTAGCATTTCTAGCACAGACCTCTTGCCCCTAGGGGCAAGCGATGCCGAGGCCTGTTGACCCCGCTAGCTTTTCTCGCTAGGGCTAGATTTTGTTCTTTGCCCCCAGGGGCAGCCTTCTGCATTCTTTGCCCCCGGGGGCAACCTAACCCTACCTCAGTGGTACAGTTTAGGGACATAGTATGGAGCGCAACACTAGGAACGACGTCCTCTCAACACTCTTCAGGATGCAGGAGCAGGAGGTCTTCCAAGGATCTTTGGGCCTTTTCCAACTGGATGGTGACGAAATCTCGAAGAGAGCCCATGCTGAAACTGGTGTCGCGATATGTGACGGTTTCCCCATCCTCAGACCACATAATGTAGCCAAGATTGGTGGTATTGCTAACTACTTTCTTTGCGTAAGATCGCAGGCGATAGGCCCAATTAAAGGCAGTCCAAGTACCTCGTCTCATGAACCGCATCCTCATCTCGTCTAGCAGGTTAGAAGGATGTTCTACTTCGCCATTCTCTACACCGGTAATTACTCTTTGCACAATAAGCATTTGAGCCATTTTAATAAACTTAGACAAGTCTGGCGAATAGTTTAATGTGCTACGAAACACGCCACTAGGCTTCTCATCAATGCCCAGCACAGCAAGGAAGCTGAGGGTTACACTTTCAAAGTAATCTCCCTACAGAGTGTGGTCCAAGAGGGAAATGCACAGCAGCAAGTAAGCCTTGTCCATGTCCACTGCTACCGCAAGCACCTCATCCCTATACAGCTGGTCATCGCTATGCACGGCTCTTAGAGACATTAGCTTATCAGCAAGCACCATTGCCTAATCTAATCAAGAGAGCTGCTCAGTCGTGAATTGGTGAAGAAGTGGTATTTCTTGGTTGGGCAGGCTTGTTTAGTAGACAAAGCAAAGAAGACGTTTCCATAGATCTTTATACGCCTAGAAAGTTCCCTTCTAGAGCTTGACCATGATTATGCGCTCTTGTTTGGTAGATCAATCTATAAGGAAGCTGTTTATCTTAGCTTAGTTAAAAACACTAATCCAATCCTCGTAAATAGACTGGTATGCTTACTCAATGATGCGGTCGAAGCTCTCTCCCATAACAACCAGAGCAGCCTCGGTAAGGGGGTTGGGCATGTATATAAGAGGAGCCACCTTAGTCATGTCTAGACCGTTGAAGTAGTGGGGCCACCTCGTCATCTCAAGCCAAGGGGACACCTCTGTCTTTGCGACTGAATTGCTATACGTCTATGCTACGACTTGTCATTCAAGTTCACACGCATATAGTTGCTCCTTAAGAACAGCTCTTAGGAGATCTATCTTGCACGTGTGGAATTTGGCTTTTAGAGCACCAACCTTAGATAGAACATAAACTACGAAAAAAGAGCTCTAATGGCATGAAGCAAAGAAGCTAGCAGTAGACTTCTATAAACATTGGCCCCTTATCTTCTTCAGGTATCTCTGGTATTTTTCGGGGCCGACCTTTTCTCTAAGGAAGCAGTCAGTGCTTATTGAAATGCTGCTCCATAGTTTCTTGCGCTGTTTTGGTCTTTAACAGTATATACGTGCAGCGACTACATTTATAGCCACGATAGAGCTTGAGGTCCGGAAGGGGCGGCTCCATGGGCGACGGCAGCGGAATTTTACAGGTCCTGGGATTGAGAATATCATATTTTTCCTCGAGGCGCCTGGCAAGCGTTGTAGCTGGCCGTTGTGATCTGGAGACGCTAAAATCAAGGCCAGCATCACGACAAGCCTCACGTGCATATTGCTTCTTAATGTGGCTGGCAAGATGCAGGGGTGGAACAGCGCAGGCACACGGCTTGCACACAAGCACTTGGTATTGTGAATAAAAGACAAAGAGATCCGTCGTCGTTAGAACTTGGTCGTATCACAAAGACGTAGAGGAATGACAGCATGAGGTTGCTAGCAAAGGAAGTCTATAGAGAATCGAGGAGGCTGGGCTGCGGCAAGAAAAGACGCGACCAAGGCGCGGTCGTGCAACGCGTTTTCGGGCCTACTAACACGCCCTATCTCCTATCTTTTCGTATCCATGCTCTTTCAAGATCGGGGCTTTTATTATCAAGGAGGAAAGGACATTGGTGAGTTTTGGTGAGGCGAGGAGAGGGCAACCAGGCAGACAGGGTTAAGAAGCGAGTTTGCTCTTGATTGGCCCACAAACAGGATGAGGGTTCGTCTGATTAAAGTATAAGTCCTAGAAAGGGTGTGTAGTCATACGGCTTCGTAAAGCAGAGCTCTATAGGGTGAATTCCAAGGACACCAGAGAAGTGAACCATCGCATTGCAATGCATCTTTCCGTCCAAAGAAACATCTGTCTAGAACATTGCAAGGAGCTGGAAGAGCCTCTCGCAGAGAGAAGCGGACATATTTGCAAGTCCCACTCCGCTATCTGCGTCTTTGACGGAAGCAGCTGCTTGACCCCAGATTGAGTCCATCAGTGCAGTCTGTGCGGCGGTCAGGTGCAGGCCTGTGACGTCGCTAGTTCGATCCCTCGTATTCCGTGATAATGCTCTGATCCGGAATATGTAGCATAGGAAACGTTCATGGTAGCTGTAATACCTACGTCGTGTTTGTCCGCGTTGGGGAAGCTCAAACGGGAATGCGAGAAAAGACGGTGTCCAGCTCCGAAGCCAACAGCGCAGTACACGAGGGGTATGCTTCAACGTCTCCTCGCATCGCTGGAACGTGGTTCTGCTGGCTTCGATAATCTTCAAGATAACTCTTTCCGACGCTCCTGGACTGACACACTCGAACCCGTTTCAGAGACCTAGTAGCAAGTCGCCTAGCGTATTGGCAGAAGGTAATGACGCAGCCGAAACAACAAGGTGGATAGGCTTATTAGCGAACCATGAAGGCCACTCGCAACCTCGGAGCCACTCCGTATTTTCATCGTGGTCCAATTCTTCGTCTAAGGCTACACCTTCGCTTTATTCGTTCATCAAACGCTGCTTCTCCTCCATCTCCAGCAATAGCAGGGCTTCCTCCTCGTTGTTTGGGCGGTTTTGCGACAACTGCGAGCCGGCATACATGTCCGGGTGAATCGGCGCTGGCTGATCTAACTTGTCCACAATCCAGTATGCCCGACTATACTTTGTCCAGCTCTGCAGCGCGCAACTCATTTCAGGTTCCTGTTTTCGACAGTCCACAGCATTGATACCGTGCTCTTTTTTTGCATAACGCCTCATGCGGTCCCAATTAACGGTCTTAAACACTGAACAGTTCGAGCAGCAGTAGCCTATGCTGGGCGCAGCTAGATAGGGAAGTGGTGCAGACCCATCTGCACGGGGCTTGAGATCCGCGATACTCCGCACAGCTGGTAGTCCATCAAACTGCGCTGCTATCGTACGTCGCAAGGCAGCTCGAATTCTATAACCGTTCCGCAAATGGATATCGATGTGCTGGTACGGGACCGCGACTTTACAAGGAGTGCACACGATTACGCGTTCGCTGGCGACGAAGGTGAGAGGATTTAATACGAGAGCATTGGCCTGGCTTTGTCAGTTCGGGAGTATCAAGGTAGCGACGGGTCTTATAAATAAAATTGGAGCTTCTATGGATTTTGGGGTTTCAACAACCCACGTCGTAGGCATGCTGGATTAGGGTATGTAGCGTACATAGCAAAGAATCTGAAGAGAACTATGGTAATTGAGGAATAGGGGTTAATTAGATGTTCAGCTGTGCCCAGATAGAACCGCACAGATACCTAGCGTTATACCGAACTAGGATAGAATATTAGCACGATCAACAGGACGGATTCGCGCTATGCCTTTCTGAGATGAGTTAGAGGCAGATACGCAAGACAGATTCGCGCTATTCCTTTCTAGGAAGAATCAGGGGCAGAATCGTAAAGCATCATATACTAGGAATTGGGATTCAAAGAGTTAAGGGTTCCTACCTAGGCGAAATTGTTAACAAGATAACTAATATAACTCGTCATTCACTTTGAAGCGGCTTTATTAACCAACTAAAGAATCCGTCTCAACCGTGTCGGCTCTCCCAGAGCGTCCAGAAAAGCGAGTCAGGCTTGCTCTTCAGCTCACGAGGATCGCCTACCTCCACAATCCGTCCCTTTTCCATAACAACGACGAGATCCAGGTCCGCGATAGTCTCCAGCCTGTGCGCCACTACCAACATCGTTTTCTCCTTGAAAACCTCCCGTAGCACCTTTTGCGCCTGCTCATCTGAATAGTGGTCAACGCTACTAGTGGCTTCGTCAAGGAGCACAACGGGGCTCTTGCTCAGCAGGGCTCGAGCTAGGCAGAAGAGCTGTTTCTGCCCGTGAGATAGTCCGAGGCTCTCGAAGTCTACGTCCAGACCACCGCGGCTGCTGATGGTCTCCCACATGCCCGCACTAGATAAGGCATCGATCAGGATCTCGTCAGCGGCAACCGTCTCTAGAGGGTCGAGGTTTGTACGGACGGTGCCTGGTAGCGTCACGGAATCCTGGGGGAGAGCTGTGAGGTGGGTTCGAGGTACTACGCTCGGCACCAACGCCAAATCGAGCCCGTCGATTGTAATTGAACCTGACTGGGTTTCCAATAGTTTCAGAAGGCTTAGTAGCAGCGAGCTCTTACCGCTGTATTGTATGATATGTAAGCCGCTGTTCAGAGTGGCGGCGTGAAGGCACGCGTTGGAGAAAATACATACCTTCCTGTACGCCCGCAAATTCCCACCTTCTGGCCTGGTTGAATCCGAAGCGATACGTCACGAAGTACCGTCTCATCTTCCAGACTGAAACCTTGTCAGCATCTAGGTATACTTCAAGAAAGTGGGGCTTTGTCATTCACAACTTACTGGTAGGTAGCAGTAAGTCCATTAATCTGAATGACGCCAGTCGAGGGCCACGACACAGGCGCCTCTAGAATTTGCACTCCAGAGTCCTCTCGGGGCGTGTCTCGTATGAAGTTGCGCAATCGAGCGATAGCGCCAAGAGATGTCTCCATATTCGTCCAAGATATTATTACCCTCGAAAGGCTATTGTTAAAGCCAATGAGAGTTACCATGGAAAGGCCGATCGCGCCGCGGGATGTTGTACTCGTAAACCCAACAGCAAAGCTCACTAGAACGATGGCGATGCCTGTAACAAACAGGTCCATGACGACGTTCAACCATCGTTGGACGCAGAACAGGAGATAGAAAGGCTTCTGGGACTGGTCGAGGAACCGAAGATTCTCCTCCTGGAAGCCTTGCTGCCAGCCAAAGGCTCGAATAGTCGCCACACCGTTGAGCGTCTCGGTGAAATGCGTATATAACGGCGACTTGGACTCGAGATCGAGATGTCGGAGCTGACGCGATGTACGAAGATAGTATTTCTGTAGGAAGTATAGCGCTACGATGCAGAAAGGAATCACGGCAGCAACGTATTGTGCGCCCGACGCAATTACGGCAGCATTGGCAAAAAGGGTGAGCGAATCTATAGTCGTGGCGAAGAAGGCCATTGGCAATGCCTGGTCGATGAGTGTCATGTCTTGGCTAAAGCGATTGAGGATGGTACCACTGTCAGTTGTAGTGAAGTACCACAGCGGCGCTCCGACAGCTGCGTCCAGCAGAAGCCAGTGAAGATACTTGGCCGATTTTGGGATGATCAAGAAGGTGACGAACCAACCTACCATACCAGTCAAAATAACGGTGGCTGTTGCGAAGACAATATAGCCGCTGAAATATGCACCACGATCTTGGTCCACGCCATGCTCAGTCCAGATGCGTACCCTTTGTGACTTGTGTGATTAATTTATTATATCATCTGAATTATGACTGTGTTCGAAACTGATCTTGGAGGGGGGAAGAAGCTTGCCCTGTAATTGAGAGAAATAGAACATACCAAACAATTGACATCTGTTTTACGCCGACACAGCAAATGGCGATAAGTAGGAATCCGAGTGATAGAGGTATCCCGGTCGACTTCAGATAGAATTTGTATAATGACCGATCCCCGGTCTGTCGTGTAAAGTCGCTCTCATCCTCCCCCGCAGCCTTAGCAGCGGCCGAATCAGCGGTTATGTCGGTGTCTTCGTTTTGTATATCTTCAATTTCATGACTGGAACGCGTTTTTAACGCGAGGCTTCTCACATAGCCGTCCTGAGCCTGCAGCTCGGCAAAGCTGCCAGTCTGCGCAATACGGCCGGATGTTTCAAGCACGATGATATTGTCTGCAAAGGGGAGTTGGTGGACTAAGGAAGTTGTTAATAGACACCTAAAGTATTGCAGCATTCGGCTGCGATTCGGCGCATATGGCCCACGTACTTGCGTTGGTCGCTAGCAGCACTGTTGCGCCCTGCTTTCGCAGAATTCCGACGACGCAGTTGAAGACTGTTCGGGAAGTAACGCTATCAAGGGCACTGAAGACGTCGTCGAGCAAGACAATAGCTCTTCGTGCGTATAGTGCTCGAGCGATTGCCTGTACACAAGAAGTGATACTGGGTCAGCACATTAAGATACCAGGCTACTAGCTCCACGCCGTACCTACCACTCTTTGTTTCTGTCCTCCACTAAGAGTGATGCCCCCACTCCCAACCAGGCTCTTGTCGCCCAGAGGGAATTGAGAGATATCGGCGTTGAGGGCACAGGCATGGCACACGGAGGCGTACCACCTCTCATCAAATTGCCCCGGACCAATGATGTTGTCACGAATGGAGATGTTCCGGAGCCAAGCAGTTTGGTCACAGTAAGCTATCGATGCGCCGACGTCCTCAACCCTAACTGTCCCGCCAGAGAGGCGGATCTCACCCAAGATACCTCTAAGAAGGGAAGACTTACCGCAGCCTACAGGGCCAGCGAGCATTGTGCAGCTGGACTTTGGAAGAGAAACGGTGATGCCCTGAAGCACAGGCTCTGTCTGGCTCTTTAGCGTGAAATTGGCATGTTCTAGGACAAGTCGAGTGGCGTGTGGCTTTCGAATCAAGGGGAGCTCGATATTTGAGTGTTCTTGCCTTTGTGCTAAGACAAGATGATCGCTCTCGCTCGTAGACGGGGATGGGATTTCACCAGTGGTACTTGTATCGATCCTTTTATCCTCATGGCTTTCCAACACCAAGAAGGCCTGGATACGATCAAAACAAGCAACAGATGCCTTGAAGTTTGGGATCGACCCCATAAGGTTGGCCATGGGTGACACGACAAGCGCCACGATAGACAGACTGGTGAACGCCTCGGAAACACTAAATGCATCAGTCCCGGATTTTGTCCAAAACACAGCTGCTGTTATCACAACTACTGGAGTCGCTTGGTCCGAGAAGTTTGCTAAATTGAATCAGTCTTGCGTTTTTGTGCAATGTATGATACAGCATACCTATCAATACTATCTTTACGATAAACGCTCTAAATATTTTCGACAGCTCGAGCTCGCTGGCCCGAAGGTCTTGAATCGATTTAGCAATATAGTCAGTGAGACCCATCATCTTCAGGCCCTTGATCTGCGTTAGCATCGAAGATGTGCTGGAAACCCTTTTCTGTATAGCTTGGTTCCATATCGCTCGAGCGGGGCCAATGCCATCGGTCGCATAGTTCGTGGCAATAACGGACACTGAGGCCACACACATACACTTAGCTAACATCTTTGAAATGAAGCGTCAAGGTTTACTTACCAACAGTTGGAATAACGACGAGGAAGCACGCAGGTCCTATTTGTCTTTCCAGGAGGTAGACAGCAACAAACAGCTCTACAACACTTGCCCAGATTTCGTGCATCAGCTGAATACCAGTGGCAATACCGTCCACGTCAGTACTCATCAAAGTGACTGCGGCGCCCTCTTTGGCAGAGGTAGTATCAAGACCGATGGTCTTCTTGAAGATCAATGGCACAAGGCTTCCCCGAAGTATTGTGATCAGCTGAAATATGAGATGGTTGTAGATGACTCTTGATAGCTTGTTGGCGGAGGATGTTAGTTTGATGGGATCTCTTCGTTTGGGGACGAGCCAACTCACTGCAAGCCCCAGATAGACCAGACACGTAGCACCAATCAGTCCACCGGCATTACCAACAGCATTCCGCTGATCAGCACCTCTATCGCTCTCCCCAACAAAGCTCACAACTCGATTGATCAGAAAAGGCTGGGCGAAGCCGAAGCCAGCGAGACAAAGACGAGGGACGACTGGAGCAAGGAAGGCGACCTTGAAGGCAGAAAAAGCCGCCTTGATGAGAACATGTTTCCCGCTTCTGTCGCTTGCCTGCCAGACGGCATCGAGCTTGGCTAAGAGCTTAGGTGAGTCAAACTTGTTGCCAATACTGCCCAAGTCTCTGACCTGGAGCAGACTTTTGAAGCCGTTCAAAAACAGCCGATTCAGCCACCAGAAGACCGACCGATTGATAGGGCCACTGGTTGCCTCCAAGGCGAGGTTCTTGGTCTTGTCGGTCACCAAGGGGCGCTTTTGTAGCTCTTCAAGGCATACAAGCACAAGCTTTGTTGCCAATGAGGCGGTAAATAAGGCCTGTATTGGGCCACTGTCTGGGGATCTTAGGAACAGTGTCCTGGTCTGCGCGAGGTCAAGCAAGATGGAGAGGGCGAGATAGCTGACCAAGAGGGTCGACGGCCTGATAGACCGGCGATGCTCTGTGTATGATAGTACGACAATGACGAATGATCCGATGAGATCCAAGACAGAGCTAGCGAGTGACACCGGCGTCCTAACGGTTCCCGGCAGCGCCCAGAGCGCAACAAGGGCGATTTGGACCCAAATCAACGTTGTGGCCGCCGCCTGTGTGTAGAAGAAACAGCATTAGCGTTTTCTACAAGTAATTGGCGATACTGAATGTCCTCGTCCGTCCCCAACGACCGACTTACGAGCTTAGCCCACAGGAGCCATCCAGCACGCACACGGGTCTTCACCTGCCACAGCGATGTTGCTCGGGCTATAGAAACCAAAATAAACAAAACAGAAGGGAGGATGCCGAGAATGCTCTGCTCGAAGAGGAGCGTGAAGTCGAACACATCGTGCCGCTCTGGACCGAACGCCATGTCGGCAGTGTCGCGCCTATAGGATATATTCAGACCATGATGCAATTCCATGGTGTCCTTTTCAGTAGATCAATGGCAAGAGAGCTTCGGATTACTAGTTTGTTATCGGCAATATAATTCGCTATTAAAAGTCAAATCAGACGAGGTTGGTGATTCTTGGGTCAAAGTCTGCGACAGGATGGGTACCTAGGGTTAATTATTATCCAGCTGAGCTTTAGTGTGTGATTACTAAGTTCTGCCAAGGGGAGGTATGGGCTAGATGGCGAAAGAAATTAATCACCTTTTTAAGTGGATTTTTAATAGGCTAGAATAAGGGCTGTAGCAAGGGTTGTAGCAAGGGGTTCCAGCCAATTACTCAGAACCCCAACGGAACGGCCTCGGTAACGGAACTCCGAGGGAACCCCGTTACACGGCCCTTCTTATTACAAGCTAGCCCATATTAGGGCATATAGCATATGTCACCGTCTCTACAACGCAAGGGTGCTTACCAAGATTCTTTTGCTATCACGTAGCTCCGCGGCGCAGCCAGGCAGAAGCTAGCCACGTTATCGTGATGTCAGGAATCAAGGAATGGCGTGCTCCACGAGTACAACATAACTCTATCGCCGATAGGTCTAATTACTGCATAGATAACGCTTTTGAGCATACATGCAGAACTTATTACGGGAGCTTCCATGATGCAATTGTTATGCAAATTGACATCTTAAATGACGTGATTAAAGAATGCAAAGCCTTGATTACAAAGCGAAACAATAATAGACTTGTCAGATATGAGGGCGTGTTCTAAGTATCTCAGTGTTGTTATCAGATGGCTGGGGCGGAGGCCGGAGGCAGGATATCGAGACTTAGCCGAAATAGGGCTAGGATAGGTTATCTGCCAAGACCCACACAAAAGGGCGCCCTAGATAGAACCTCGGCCAACACACAAAAAACAATGAATCCATCTCATCTCCAGATCACCGATATTCATTAAATCACTGTGTAAATCTAACAATTAAGAGTCTCACTACCTCAACCGATATACCAATCAACCATAACGGCCCAATCAACCCCTTAACGCGTAGAGATAACGCTCCACGACTATAACGACTTTACAGGATGGTATACATAGCTGTAGGCACACTATGTTATATATAACCTATGGGATAAGGTTAACCCTAATTTAGTAACTCTACTAATTATGCAACTAGTAGCTATCCAAGCACTAGTTATCACAAACTACACCCTAGTAGCCAATATTAAGATACTAGTGTGATAGTCTAAGCTATTAATAGCCGGATAGAAGGCCTTTAAGGAGGACCTTAAGTACTATAAGATCTATTATAAATAGTATAAGAGTAATTAACACAAATATAAGAAGGAGTAGATAAGTATCTAGCATATTATTACATTCATCTATTTAATAGTAGTAAAATACCTCTAGCGCACATACTATCTACCTAATTAGCCACTCTACTAATAGGTTATAAGTCTCAAGCTCACTACCAGCATTAATAAGCAATTCAAACAAGAGCACGCTAGAGATAGATATCTTATAGCTCTAAAAGTAATAAGAAGTATTAATTAATGGGAAACCTAGCTTGCTGAATATAATTAGGTAGCTATAGAAGCGGAGACCTATAGGGTTACTAAAGTAATGCAACTAAATACAATTATAAAGGACTTTCTAGTAGCCGTTAATAAAGTGGCACCCATATGGGCTACGGCCTTCCAAGACTATAGTAGATACACCGCCGGCATAACTAGAAAGGAGATAATGAAACGGTTCCAAGAACATATGATGGCCAATCATCCGAGCATAAAAGGGAAGCATAAAGCAGCCTTCATAACTATAGATTAATCTAGTAGTGATCCATATGGAAGCTTTCTTACTAATAGTGGTGAAACCACTTAGGGTAATAATAGGGACGCCTCTCATGCTAAACACGCGCTATCTAATAAGGGACGTCCCTTAAAATGAAAGAGAGCGTAACTACACGGGGCCTCTTAGCCATTTTATAATAAGCCTTCCAACACCATAGGCCCATGCCTAGCGTGTGAATAAGGCTATATAGCCAAAGATTACTACTACCTTTATAAGGATATAGCACCTGCATGGTGGAAGCCTAGACTAGCTATTAGTAAGCTAATTAAGCTTAAACGTAAGCATGATAGCACGTTTTAAGGGCTAATTCGAGGTTAAAGTAGATCACGAACACAAACACCTTATATTAAATAGTCCCATACACCAACGCCGACCCGATTAATAGAGGTAAGTAATGAGTGACTAGATGGTTATAAAATCTATACTATAACTATAAGTATAAGTTTTAATACTACTATACAATCTAATCCAAACACGTACCCACTCCGCAATTTAGTGATCCTTGACTTAGGTACAACTTGCCATATCTTTAATAACGTTAATTAATTTATTACACTAAGGCCACTGAGGCCAGGCGACTTCATATGGGCTGGGAATACGTAAGTTTGGATATAAGGATACAGCAGCGTCCATATACGTTTAAAGAGTACGCGCGGTAATAGTATAATTAGGCTAGATA